AATTAGAATCGCTGTATGTAGTATCCAATTATCAATATGTTTTAAAGCTCCTGAGGTGAATGCAATGTTAACAGTTACCTCAGACTCATTTTATAACATGCCATTCACTTTACATTCACAGTCTTTTAGACTAAAATGAGACTTGCAAGCACTCTCTTAGTCTTTCCCCACTCCGCCCCTCCCCTTTTTTAGACAACATTTCCACCACATTCCTGACCTGCAACATAAACATTTCCTGTTTCATCATTTGCTAGACTGTTCAATATCCTGGAGCTCCTCTAAATAAGTTTGGTTTTGCCTATTGTACTCCAGAGTCATGCATGCAAATGTAGCCCAGGTTTGGAGTTAGTATTTTATATCACTTCTCTGAGGTGCACCTAAAAAGAGAGAGGGCTTGATAGGAATATTTTGGCTTTGTCTAATTATCACTTCTGTGGGTTTTGACCTGCTTGAAATGAGGTGGCTTGCCACTGGCAAAACCTCATCTTCAGCAGGAAGTAACAGTAAACCCTTGTAAGCACCAGCCACGACCTTTGTAAGGAAGAACATGTAGGGTAGGGAAGGGGAAGGGCAATAACCAGGAGACCAGAGCTCCAGGAAATTTACTCAGTATTTAGGTGGTAGAAATGATAACCTGAGGGACAGTGGAATCAGTGCCAAGCTGCCACATTTGAGTCTCATAAAAACCATATCTAGTGACTTACCTGATACTAGTAAGTAGCTGATCTGGGATTAGAATCTAGTTCTTCCAACTATAAGTAATGTGATCTTTCCCAAGAAGCCCAGCATCCAGACTTCCAAAGCTAAAGTCACACAAATAAGAATGGAGAAGTTCTGAAGTTGGTCATTTTTATTTTCTCAGGCAGAGAAAAGAACTGAGTGGCAGACAGATTTTTTTTCCAGCTTCCTATACAAACTGGGGGTCAAGTGGTAGAGAATAAGAGTTAAGTGAACTTTTAAAATGTCCTGTCTCAGAAGTCCATTGATTCAGTTGTCAACCTGATAAGCTTTCTAGGACCTGAAACCCGTGTCTAATCTTGCATCCACTGAGATAGTGCCCTCCACAGCATCCTTGTCAAACTGTGGCACACGCTCAGTTCGAACACTCCGAACAATGAACAGTTTGCTGCATCCTGAAACCACTGTCTGGTCAGATTTCACTAACTTATAAAATGCTCTCTTAAATTGGGCTTAAGCCTACTTTCTCTACATTTCAGATAATGTTTCAAACACAAAGACAAAATAATTTTTATCAGATATCACATGAATATTTTTCTTCATGGTATCTGTTATTTTCCTGCAGGTCAATTTTCTTAATTTGTACACATATTTTAATTGAGTATTTTTTAAATGTCTGTATTCCCTACTAGATTGCAAACCCAATCAATCAAAGAAAAGATGTTGTTGACTTCTTTTTAACCAATAGATACCCAGTACTAGCACAGAGTCAAGTGCATAGCAGATGCTTAATACATACTTTAACTGGATGAATACATAACTGAATGAATAAATAATATCAGAAGGGCTTTTTTAAATGTCTGTATTCCCTACTAGATTGCAAACCCAATCAATCAAAGAAAAGATGTTGCTGACTTCTTTTTAACCAATAGATACCCAGTACTAGCACAGAGTCAAGTGCACAGCAGATGCTTAATACATACTTTAACTGGATGAATACATAACTGAATGAATAAATAATATCAGAAGGGTTTAATTGTGGTATCTCATAATCTATCCTTTTTTTACATTACCTATCCTAGATCCCTTTAGCTGCTAGTCAAAGTACCTGACTTTTGGTTTCCACACCACATAAATCCTGCTGTCAGGGTGATTGATAGACAGAAAGTCCAGTATGAATCAACAGTGTTATCTGCAGCTTGCAACAAATCTACAGCTTTTACTAACACTATTTAAGCAGAGATAATAGCATTCTCATCTGTGACTTTGTAGTATTTTGTACAGTCTTTTTTTCTATTTTTTAAAACTACACTTATGCTTCTAACATACTTTGAGCTGTTTTAGGATCAGACTTGTGCCCAATACATACTTGCCTCCCCAGCACTTCACATGATTCTGACACAAAGACAAGTTTCTGAAATCATTAATGAGTAAAAGCATGAATATACTGCTCAGACCATAACTGAGGTACCTTCAGCTCTGGGTTCCATAATCTAGGTAGGAGGTAAACCAACTGTGACACATGTACAAGGTAAGGAGACTGAGTCATATTGTAGGGCATTGAAGGAGTGAGCGATGCTGTGTTTTGACTAGAGGAGACTTCAGTAGAGATGTGTGGAGATGGGCATGAGAGGTGACGAGTGACAGGTGGAGATCACAGGGAGACAGTCCAGGGCTCATGTAAGAAATAGTTATTCTAAGAGTCAAAGCCGCACAATGAAATAATAAGCTTCTGCGTGGTGAAGCTGTTCAAGCAAAGACTGGATATAACCCTCAGTGGGATGCTGAAGGGAGAATGCCAGCACTTATTGGATTGGGATTAAAGGCCCTTTCAGTGCTCCTTCTGCCCTGAGGCTAAGGTTCCAGACTGGCAAGGTCTCTCTTATGCTGTGACAAAATAGTGTGGCTGTGGATCTATGTGGGACAGAACAGAGGCAAGTTCTTAACTTCTGGTATGTGATCAGCCATGTGTCTTTCACTGCTAGAGCAGTCTCTGGAAGCCCTTTCTGAAAGTGGTAGGGTGACTACAAGGGAATTTGAATGAATATTGCACCTTCTATAGAAAATCTGCAGGAAAATGAGA